AAATAACCACACAGGTGATCATTAGAAAGCGTTTTAAAACAATAATTAAAACACCAGTCTCACAAATATTTTTATCTTGTTTCAGCCGTCTAACTGGCGCAAGTTGCGAAGTATAGTACAGTGGACCCCCTTCATCCAGACATACAAGAAGCACAAGTATCCATGGGTGCAGCTTGCCGGACACCAAGGTTAGTTTATTTCAATAAATTGCATATATTTCTTTCTTTATTTATTTATTACATATACACACATATGTATGTATATTTCCTTATGCTGTTAATAACTGGTTTTGTTGTATACTTTAGAGTACAGTGGTAGGACTCTTAGAGAACTTTACTTCAAAGATGTAGAGTAGTAATAAACAGAGGTGATATCGATTCATTCTTCGCTTTGTTGTGCAGTCTCGTTAGAGTTCGCGATTGAAGAATAAGATGAAAACATATGATTTAAGATGGAGTTTAAAATTAATGTTATAAATTATCCATCAGGTAACTTTCTCGCTGGTTATAAACAAGGGACTATACTGAAGAAGTTGTGCCCGGCAGAAGAGAAAGCTTTGGAAGCTATTAAAAAGGATATTTTACGACCCTACGTTCCGACATACATGGGTGTGGTAAGTTTTTTAGTTATGTCATGCTTGTGGGTAAGGATTATATATATATATATAACTTTTTTAACGATAGCATTTTAGTCATATTTTGAGCAATGACTTCACGTTAAGGAAGCGAACATGAGTGTCATAGGGTTAAAAGTATTATCAGCTTACAGCCCTGCCTTTTCTATCATTACAAACGTACATCTGTGATAATTAATTTTCCTATTAATTACCGGTTATTATTTTTCAATTTCGTTAATGAACCTCTGCGATTAAGTAACAAAAAAATTCACTCATTAGAAATTGGATGTTGAAAAGTTTGGATTATATTAATAAGGGTGAAGATTATTTGCAAACCTTTCAATAAGTAAATGAAGGAATTAATGAGCTTTTCTGTCCTCAAGGTGGAAGGGACAGACGGGGAAAGGTACCTTCAGCTGCAAGATCTTTTGAGCGACTTTACTCTTCCGTGCGTCATGGACATCAAAATGGGTGTTCGCACTTACTTAGAGGACGAGCTGGCAAAAGCAAGAGAGAAACCCAAGCTAAGAAAGGTATGACTAATTTTTGTATAGTATTTGCTAAAGATGTAAAATTACTATATATGTATGCTCAAGCCCCTGCGTGATTTGAAATGTAGTGGGAGCTAGAAGGCACCATGAAGATTTCATTTATGTTGTCAGGAGTGTGAATGGCCATTATTAATTTTGTAGCAAGTTAGTTTGTGATGGACCTTGAAACACACACACACACACACACACACACACACACACACACACACACACACACACACACACACACACACCCACACCCACACCCACACCCACACCCACACCCACACCCACACCCACACACAAATAATTACAATAATAGAAAAACAAACAATAATAATGAAAATAAACAAATAGTAATTTGCTCTGTAAGGGAAGTGGATGCTATAAAACTCATCATGACGTGACTGATAACCAAGTAATGATGTCATGATTTCCTGATTCATTATTTATGACGCAGCACCGCATGTGAAGACCGGACACGCACACACCCTCCCACTAACCACCACACTTCCACCTTTACCCCGATATACAGTGACAGAGATAGATATAGATAGATTATTGGGTATAGACAATTGTGTATAGATAAATAAACAATACACTATATATTTTTCTATTGTTTTTGCAGGATATGTATGAAAAAATGGTACAGATAGACCCCAAAGCTCCGACAGAAGCAGAGAACAGAGCTAAAGCAGTCACCAAACCCCGGTATGTTACTTTGCATTTTATGGCTCTTATAAAAACAAAAAATAACATTTTACATTTTGATATGTCATTCATTGGTATCCCCAGTAATTTGTAATTAAATAATTTAAAGTATGTGCTTATTATTTCTTTTCCATTTTACAGGTACATGGTATGGCGGGAGACCATATCTTCTACAGCTACCCAGGGATTTAGGATAGAAGGCATGAGAAGAGGAGATGGAACATCGAGTAAAGACTTCAAAACCACACGCACAAGAGAGCAGGTTCTTGCCTCTCTCAATAGTTTCCTTCAGGGATACCCTCATGCTGCTGTAAGTATATTTTACAAATACGAACAAAGTTTCTTGCTTTTCTTCTCGTTTTTGTTTAGCTATAGATAACTATTTTGTCATAAATATCATATACTAAACTAAATGATAGGCATAAAAATCACATTATAAAAATGCACCTTACACATTTAATGACACTTTTGGCAATGTGTGTCACTTTTTAATATAATTTTTTTACAATGTTTTCAGAGTCGATATGTCCAGCAGTTGAAGTCCATCAAAGCTACATTGGAGGCTTCTGCTTTTTTTAAAACCCATGAGGTTAGTGTAGATGGTGTTTACTTTTTTTTTTATCATGAGTTTTAAGGAAAAACACATATGCTATTTTTTCATTTCAAATCTTATAATTGAACTTAATAAAATAAAGTTTTTCTTTTCCTGTTGTACTAAAAAAAACATTTTTTCTTTTTATTTTCAGCTTATAGGCAGCTCTCTTCTCTTCGTTCACAACGAAAGTTCGGCTTCAGTGAAGCTTATCGATTTTGCCAAGACTATTCCTTTGCCAGAAAATGTAGAAATCACTCACCGAAAGCCATGGTCAGAGGGAACACATGAAGATGGCTATCTCCTAGGTTTGGATAACCTCATTGACTTGTTCTCGGTAATAGAGAAGAACTTTATTGAAAATGATGCCATAACAAAAACAGGGACACCTACCACCACCACCAATGCCACCACTCCAGAGGAGACCAGCAGCAGTACCAGCAGTGCACTCACTACCAATACCACCACCAACACATCCAGCAGCAATAGCAACAGCACCTCTACCTAGGTCAAATACAGTACAAGTTGGAGAAGAATGTACAAAGCCGTAGTGTCTATACAGATTTAGTAAAAAAGAAAAAAAAAAAGAAAAAAAAAATTACTGTATTATAGAAATTTCTGCAATGCTTCACTGTTAATGACATTCAGAAAATGAGTGGATAGTACTGTGTGCCATTATGAAACAAACAATACCATGTGTCCTGAAGAGTGTGAAGTTAGAAATGGCTTGCCCTGTGATGAGACTGTTCAGCAGTAATGAAAGTTTACTGTAACTCCAGTGTGTAGAAAAGTGCATACTCTTGTATAAACACTAATGGGACTAGTTTTAGCCTATTCAGTGAATATTTGAACATTTAAAGCCTGATTCCAGGAAAATATTTTTTTGTGGCCTTTTGTATATAGCAAATGTACATATCCTTGATTACCTCTTAAAAATACAAGTCATTTATATGAAATAACATTACAGTTCCAGAACTGTTACAATGGACTACTAATAACTGTTACTGATGCTCCATCTGTAGGACATAAGCCAAAAGTCACTACTACTTTAGTCACTTCTCCCCTCTTTTTTCTCTCTTCTTTTTTCAGGAAAATTATCTTTCTTGATATTTATTGAAAATGTTACATCATCATTAAACATTAATTTATTTGTTTTTGTCTTAATATCCTAATATCTGAATATATAGAAATACATAGCCTTCTTTTGAGAATTCTAATACATAAAAATGGTAGCATTATAAAATATAGAAATTTATTGGTACTTTCTCTTTACTAGCTGCCTACCTTTTACCCATTAGTGCAAGGATATGCACTGCTCATTGTAAATTTGTTTTGTCGGTTTTGTTTATATACAGATGGCTTCACAAGTGCTGAGCCATCAAGCATTCAATAACTACCTGTAGGTCTAAAACTTTGGAGAACCTTATTTCTAATACTAATATCAATGTTATCAATGCTATTATATTAATGACACTATTATGCACAGAATAATGTAAATGGGTGAGATCAAGAGAGCCTATTATCTTTTTCCTTGATGACTTAGCACTCATTAAGCCATCTATGTGTAAAGAAAATCAATAAACTAAAATCGCAGTGGCTAAGGCATATATATACATGCCTTCCCAGTGTCAGTGAGTTAATATATCATGGGTAAAGAAATACTCAAGAAAAGAAATCTGCTTCAAATCTAATTCAATATAATATACAAATATATTAATAAGTGAGAATATTTATTACACCAAAAAAAATGTATGCAATAATGTATGACATACTGTATCACAGGGTAGGTACACCAAAGCAAAAAAAAAAATAAAAATACAAGTCATTTATATGAAATAACATTACAGTTCCAGAACTGTTACAATGGACTACTAATAACTGTTACTGATGCTCCATCTGTAGGACATAAGCCAAAAGTCACTACTACTTTAGTCACTTCTCCCCTCTTTTTTCTCTCTTCTTTTTTCAGGAAAATTATCTTTCTTGATATTTATTGAAAATGTTACATCATCATTAAACATTAATTTATTTGTTTTTGTCTTAATATCCTAATATCTGAATATATAGAAATACATAGCCTTCTTTTGAGAATTCTAATACATAAAAATGGTAGCATTATAAAATATAGAAATTTATTGGTACTTTCTCTTTACTAGCTGCCTACCTTTTACCCATTAGTGCCAAGGATATGCACTGCTCATTGTAAATTTGTTTTGTCGGTTTTGTTTATATACAGATGGCTTCACAAGTGCTGAGCCATCAAGCATTCAATAACTACCTGTAGGTCTAAAACTTTGGAGAACCTTATTTCTAATACTAATATCAATGTTATCAATGCTATTATATTAATGACACTATTATGCACAGAATAATGTAAATGGGTGAGATCAAGAGAGCCTATTATCTTTTTCCTTGATGACTTAGCACTCATTAAGCCATCTATGTGTAAAGAAAATCAATAAACTAAAATCGCAGTGGCTAAGGCATATATATACATGCCTTCCCAGTGTCAGTGAGTTAATATATCATGGGTAAAGAAATACTCAAGAAAAGAAATCTGCTTCAAATCTAATTCAATATAATATACAAATATATTAATAAGTGAGAATATTTATTACACCAAAAAAAATGTATGCAATAATGTATGACATACTGTATCACAGGGTAGGTACACCAAAGCAAAAAAAAAAAAATACTCATGTTACAGACTAATGCATTGTGCAAGCAACCTGATGAAATGCATAATTATTTTCTTTCATAAACAATATTTCTATTTTTCTAGGTATAATGTCATTACAAAAATAAGTGTACAGTATCGCTATATTATTCAACCGAAAAGAGTAATAAAAAAGTCTGTCCTGAGTATATTCAAAACTTCTAGATCAACATTATTCTATCTGTTTTGTCATCTTAATAATACAGTAGTCAACTGGAAAAAAATCATCAACAGGATTCAACACAATTCTCTCTCGGAAGACTGAGAAACTTTTTTTTCTGAGCACAGTATTAGGTAGTCTCAAGAATTCTTTTCGGGTGACTTGGTTGGGGAGGCGGCATTCTTCTTCTTCGGTGACTTCCTTTTCCTCGATCTGTTCCTCTGTCCTTGCTGAGTTCGGAATGTGATGCACTGCAACAGTGAAGTGTTTTTTTAGAAGTGTTGAAAGTTGAGGTCTTACCGAGTGATTTACATCAATTTTATAGTAAAATTAATGAAAATAATCATGTTTAAAAGATTGCTAAGGAAAATGCCCACCAAATACTGTACATGTAACCAAAAGTCCCCCCCCCCCAAAAAAAAATAAAATAAAATAATAATAATAATAAATAAATAAATAAATAAATAAATAAAAATAATGATAAAACAAATAAAAGTGCAAAACGATGTCACTGAGAACTGATCAGTAACAAAATAAATAAATAAATAAATAAAGCAATATTCATAAGCTCTTTGATATGCTAACTAAGGAATTAAGATGGGGGGGGGGGGGGGAAATCACCTGAATTTCAAATTTTCTTTAATCTCCTTACCTGTTCATCTAGTATTTCAAGAAGATTGTTGATGTTTGTTTTGATTCCATTTGCTTTTAGTGATGCTTGTAAATCTTCAACAAAGATGGGTTCATACAGAAGTATTTTCATATACAGTTCTGGATCACACTTAATGAACTTTGCCACTTTAGTGCCAATATCAACTGCAATGCAAAAGTCAAAACAATTATATATGTCTAAGTCCTTTCCTCTATAACAATTTATACACAAGTTCAAAAAGGACTATGTAAAGACTTCAGTAATATTGATCTGCCTTATGTATTTTGAAAAAAAAGGTAATAGTAAGAGTCCATTTTAGATAATGACAATAAAGAAAAAAGAAAAAGAAACTAAAGATGGGTAGATAATGACAATAAAGAAAAAAGAAAAAGAAACTAAAGATGGGTAGATAATGACAATAAAGAAAAAAAAAAAAAGAAACTAAAGATGGGTAGATAATGACAATAAAGAAAAAAGAAAAAGAAACTAAAGATGGGTAACTAAAAAGTTCATCATTTTTTGCAATTTTCAACCAAATCTAATTCTACCGATGTCGCCTCTGTAACAACTGTCTGTTTTAAAAACTATACTCATTACTTTAAAAAATATGCTTAAACACACAAGACAGTAAGAGCATAATTACAAACCTTGCTGAGTAGAAGTTAACACATCATCATTATCACCAATGCCCACCATCATTGATTCTTCAGCACAGTCAAATTCCGACCCATCAGCGCTGTAGCAAAATGAAAAATGAAAATGTTACTACATCAGTCTACTGTGCAGTCAACCAAATCCTCTTCTACATACAGACATATACTAAATCAACTTGTAAAAATCATACAACTATACAATAAAAAAATAAGCTTTTCATCATACCTGGTGGTTGACGTCTGCGAAGAATTGAGTTGATCACAGACTTCTTCCTCTTCTCTGTCATCTCTTTGTTTTGCAGATAAACTTGGCTGCGGCTGTGCACCTGCATTCTTTCTTTTGTTATTAGGCCTCTCTTTCTTGTTCTTTGGAAGTGCTGCCTTCTTTGCCAAGACTTTCTGGTGAAGTGTTGATATACTTTTCTTGTTTTCTTAAGAGAAAAGACAATTATACACTTTTTTTTTATAAAGATATCCATCTCTCTCTTTCTCGTTTTTAAAAACATACCTTTTCCTTCTCTTCATACTTTCCTCCTTATCATTGCCTGAAACCTCTTAACCTGAAATGTTTTGTGAAAAAAAACAAAAAAACGCCTAAAGTCAAGTGATCTGCTCGAACACTACAACTCAATAAATGGGGCTGTTCTATATCCTGTAAAGCAAATTACTATCTGCATAATTGAGAAAGTTACCATAAAATGACAAACCTTTTAATCAAAGTTTGGATAATTACTACAGCACATACTGTACATTACTAAATATGTGTGAGATAAATACATATATATTTGTATAATGGGTAACACTATTAAATTCCCAAATCAAAGCTTACCTATACTAAAAACAAGACTGATATACACTTCAAAAAATAAATAAAGTCACAGCCCTTAATACTCTAAGTTTTGAGGAGTATTAAGGTTTAATTTTCATTACAGGAAAACATCCTTGAACTGAATAAAATGTAATATAAGTTCACTGCACTATTCAAATATTTACTATTATTTGACATTAAATATATTGGAAGTTTATGACCAACAGTGCATAATTGTGAGCATTTTTTGAGTCATTTTTAGTGTTGAAAATCAATACTAGCATCCATAAATTCCTTATGCAAATATGTCTTAAGCAATTCATACTGTGACTCATGTCAAAATTTGCAGGATAACAAGCATATTAATGTTGCCAATTATGCTCTCTTCATTCTTAATCATGTGTCGGCATCCACACAGACTGATGTGGATATAAAGAAAATATGCTTTTTTGTCATCACAAAACAAAGCTCTCCCATACAAGCATACAAAGTTGCTTTCAACTAAAAACAAACAAAAGAAGGGAAAAAATTGTCTTTCTCAACATTAAAACATATTACTCAAATTTCCCTAACTGATCATAAATATATCTATTATCATATAAATGCAATCAGATGTTAATACAAACAGATGTAAGCATAAATCAGAGATATCAAGTTTTGGGAATTTCCATATTATGAAATGTGGGTGTAAATGTATCTAAAGCCGTACTGAATATATATTGCAAGTGTGTTCAATAAGAAATGTAGAGGATAATTTGTATTTTTTACTTCTGGTTATCCATTTAGCGAAAGGTGAAAGTGAAAGGAGATAACGTTTACATTTTCCAACACCAAAAAGGAAAGGAAATTGCTGGAGGAATTAAAAGATATAAATTGAGAAAAACTGGACCTAGCACAGCTTAATCATACCCAGGCTTTTCTCTTTAATGATACCCATTTTACTATCACTTTGGCGAATCAAAAAATCTCAGAAGAGTGCTTTACTTACTCTCAGGTGGTTGCCGCTGTGGCGTTTCACAGAAACTAGACTCTGCCTCACTATCTGTAACCAGAGGATGAGTCTGTTCATAAACATGCTGGAGAAGTATTGTGGCTTTCCGGCGACTTATAGGACGAATTCCATACTTCTCTAGCTCTTTCTGTGGAAAATATTAAGTGTGTTAAAACTGAACTAACTAGCAGGTTAGGAAATATAAGATATTCTATGGAGATATCCATCTACACACACATTCTAATAAAAGGTTTCACTCAATATTACACACACTTAATATATCTCTAACTCACTCACTCTCACACACACAGACACACACACAAAGTCAAATAATAAACAAAAATCTAACATTGTACAAGACACACCACATATTTTAAAAGAGAGTATAAGGCTACAAACATTATTATCATATCATCTTGGTTCACTAAATCAAAATTTAATCTAATTAACATACATACCTTTAAATCAGGAGAGGGCATGTTTTTGTAGTCTGGCATTGGTGTCACAGGCTTTTTACTCGGACTAATCTTATCCTTTGGTGTTTTTAAAAGATTTTTCTTAGATTTTGATAATATTTTTCCTGCATCTTTCTGAAGTAAAGGATCGGAGACGTCATCGATGGAGTCAAAGTCGTCCTTCCAAATATTACTGTCCTCAAACTCTTCTGCCACTTGCAATAAAGTCTCATCAGAGAATGATGATCCTGAAGCTACAACAGCATCAGGTGCACTACTTCCCAGTCTGCTCTGCATATTGGAAATAGGTCTGTCTTTATTACCTTCACAATCAACTGTTTTAGAAGAAGTCTGCTTCACTGGAGTCCATTTTCTATTCTGCATTACACCTGATGTCTCTTCTGCTGCTTTTGTGGGTGAATTACTCTGAATTGGAAAAACACTGTCCTTATCATAGGACACATTAAATTCTTTATCTTGGTAATGTCCTTTAACAGCTGGAGTAAACACTGCTTTAACTGGGGTTGAAGGAGAAACTTCAATAGGCAATAACTCACATCCTATGTCATCAAAGTCATCCCATATATTACTGATATAAGGCCTATCCATGCTCTCTTCTTGTTTATCATAATTTGTGTCTAGGCTCTTATTTGGTGTTGCTTGCATGATATTTACAACAGCCATACATGGGTCTTCAGGACATTCCCCATTGTCTTCTGAATTTGTGTCTGTTCCATCAGCCAGCATTAATGGCTCCATTTCTTCTGTTTCTGAATCTGTGGGAGCATCAACTTGAACGCTTGGTGCAGTCAAATTATCAGCCTTTGTACCAACTGAATGAGAACTCCCTGAACTGCATACTGTCAGATCAATTAGATCAGTCTCTTTATCTTCAGGGCAGTCATTTACATCCTGGTCCTTTACATCTTCATTCCTTCTCAAATTTTGGTCCTGAATTTCTTCTCCTAAATTCCCTAAATCATTTACCTGCTTCATATTACTAAGATCTGGAGAAGCTGAAGATGATGTGTCTGGCTTATTACTCTTGAAGTAATCTGATGATCTAGCAGAGGAAATAGATTTTGTAGGTGAGGTTTTTGACTCCACACTGAGCCTCAAACTTGACTCTTTGTGTACATCCTGCAAAGCTTTATCCCATGGAGACTGATGAAATCCACCGAGTACTGGTGTTGACCCAGGGGGAAATGTTTTACAAGCTGTACTTTCAGTTACACAAGATTCATTAAAGAGATCTGGGGACTGAGAGCTACCTTTTCCATCCTCCTTTTCTGGATCACTACTCATTACCATCAACTCTGGAGACTCACTGGGTTGCAGTACAGGCTCTGCTGTTAGATCATCACTTCTTTTATTACTGGAAACTGATACATTTTTCACTGGTGAGAGATCTAAACACCTTCGGACTCGTTTATCAATAATTCCTTCTATTTGAGAATTACCCATCTTTGGTGTCAGCATTATGCCTGCATCTGTGTTTACCATGCTTTCTTTTGAATGTGATGGTGTTGCTAATTTGACTGGAGATGGATTGGCTTTATACAATGATTCCAAATATGTTACAAGATCATCACATTCATATTTTAGAGCAAGATCAAAAACATCCATCCATAATGAGTCATCTTTTGCTTTAATTTTACAGGTTCCAGTATAAATATACGAGAGAAACACATATGCTCCTTCAAAACAAATATCCGTCCAAGTGACCTTTTTCCCTGCACTCTGAACTTCCTGATACAACTTTGGACATCTTACAAGGGTAACAAAGACGTGTGCTTGGAGATCACTGCCTTCCGATGTAGTAATAGTGAAATCAGCTCCCTCACCACTGGCTAATAATGAAGCCCAGTCATAAATAAGTTTAGCATGCAGGGGGTCTGAGAATCCAGGTTCTAGAGATTTGTCTGAATACTTTTTTTCATGATCCCCTTCTTCCTGTCCACCGTTGCTTCCCCTGGCCTGTAATTCCGAGGAAATTCTGGTTTTCGTTGAGCCTCCTAGCTTGTCTCCAGCCTTGGTTAATCTCTCTTCTTTATCCTTGTTCAAATGTTCTGATTCCTGTTTTTTTTCTTGGCTCTCTTCATGTCTACTTTTTAATAAATAAAGGTCCACTGAATCTGTGTAAAGGATAGTCTCCTCTGTGTGTAGACGCTGCCTTAAACTTGTATTAAAGCTACAGTCTTCGTTTTCAAGAAATATCTGTGTTTCTGTGGAAGACATGCTAGACTCTGAATCTTTTTCAAGGAAATCTTCAGCTGGCACCAAATCACTCACTTCTTGTAGCTTATTTGAAGAGTCTTTAGGTTCAAGACTAACATTACTCACCTCAACTTGTAACTTGTCCTTATTGCACTCAGCCCTTCCAGTGCTAGTATCTAAAATAATAGAAATTTCACAATCCTCACTTCCGTCACTATTACGGTGTTCTATATCATCACAGTTTGTCGGTATCTGTTTACCAACCTCTTTTTCAGATCTAACATCCTCAAGCACTGCATTTTCTGAATTGTCGTGAGAGGTATCATTCTCTAGAGCACCATCACAAATTGTTTTTAAGCTCTTGTCCTTATCACTTTTTTCCAAAGGATTCATCACCACTTCATCAATGACACAAGATTCCAAAGAAGCACTGTCATTAACTAAATCAATAGTACTAAAAGACACCGCCTTGCTTTTCTGCGCACTATCCACTTCCATATCTTCAGTTTTGGTTTCTGATGATAGAGAATAACCCTCATCTGCTTGGTTGTCTTTAACACAGTCACCAACACTCTTATCATCATCACTGTCACATGCACTCCCAGTCCCCAATATTCTCTCACTTGAGTCCCTCTTATTTTCCTCCTCCTTTTCTTCACTGCTTTCCCTGTCCCCTTTTACATTATCTTCAGAACCTTCACCTGGTAGCCTTAACACCCAGAACCCACTAGCAGCTTCCATAGTAACATTTGGGTCTGCTCCAGCATCTTCGAAATCCTGAAACTTTGATAGATCTTCAGCCTCAATTGCATTATGTGCACGTGTTATATCTAGACAATCTTGGGATCCTAGTAGTTCTGCCAGGACAGATTGTGTGCTGTCTCGGTCCACAGCATAGCCTCTGCCTCCCTCTCCATCACTGTCTGAATCCGAGTTCTGGAAAAACAAGAGAAATGAGGTTATACAAACTGGTGATAAAAAGTTCTAAATTTCTGGCTAAGACATGAGATAAGACTTTTAAAGTTCCACTTTTTGACAAAAGTAACATTTTTCATTTTCAAAAGTTCTAAAAAGGGTTCCAAACCTGATACATACTTGCTAGACTAAGTTAGAAAAAAAAAAAAAATAATGAAAATAAAATCATTTCATCACATATCAATTTTCAAGCTCCTCCTTTTACCTCATCCATAGCTGTTAAATTCAATCGACCAGGAATCTGCGACAGTCTTCTCAATAAGCCTCCAACAGCAACCTTTTTGGGTTCTATGTAGGGTTCCAGATCAGGCACATAAAATTCACTTAACGCCTGGTCAACATGACTATGGGCTGCTTCCCAAAGGCTGCATTTCTGTGAAAATAAATAAAGAATAAATGTGGTGACAACTGAAAAAAAAAAAAAAATTGAAGGTCATTACAGGAAATAGGAAGAAATATTAACATTCTATAAGAAACAAAGTACATTCATTTTACAAACACCCCCAACTCAAATAGTTTATAATCAATGCAAACTGTAACAATATCATTTGCATAATGGTAAATGTCATAAAAAAGAAAATCCTTTAATTCTCTTAGAGGGACACAATCTATTATCAAATAATTAACTTTTTGACAATTATTTGGAGTTTAAAACATATGTCTAGTGTATATTTCTGTTGATTTACTGAAAAATACATCAATGTTTATATCACAACAAAAGCATTAGAAACTGTACAACATTATGCAATCATAGTAACAAGCAAAGTTGTATGACTTGTTCATAATG